ATTAAAGGACTTAAATTTAATAGAAAAATTTTTAATAAATTTTAATATTTATTTATTAGTTAAGTAAATAAAATATTATAAATACACATAATAGCATAAACAGTAAAAAATGGAAATAGTAGCATACAAAATTTTCCGATTAAGATTTTTAATAATATATAATATTAGTGTAGGTAACATACTAAATTATACATCACATATTTTAAAATTTTTTCACGCTGCACAACTGAAATTTTTTTTAATAAAATTATTATATATAACCTATACTTTTTTTTTTCTTTTTTTATCTCTCTTCTCAATAAAATAATTAAATTTTTTTGAAAACTAAAATAATTTAAATTATTATCAAAGTAGAATCAAATATTTAATAAATGAAATATAAAAATTTTCAAATATCATTAATTTTATATATATATATAGAAAAGAAAAAACTTAAAATTTTGAAATGCTTAAATATCTGTATGTATTATTTAAAAACTAATTTTTATAAATATATCTAATCAACTAATAAAATAAAATAATTTAATTGACTATGACTAGTATAGACTAGTCTTTTATATGACGTGTATTGCACGTTGGCTATGCTCATTAGATACTCATTTTTTTTATGTATATAATACTAAAGCATAAGATTTATTTAGATTAAAATAAATATAAGTGGTTTATTTGTATTACACTTTGTTATATAAATTACTTACAATGCTACTTTTTATATACTTAATTCTATTTTTATATAATGAAGTGGTCTTAGGATAATGTTCAACAAAATCCTTAAACTTAATTCTTTAAACTCTAATTTATAAATGCAGATTTTAAAAATCCTAATAGATGTTCAAAAAGAAAATTAAATCATCACTCAATTTTCAACCCCCTGTCCTCAACTCCAAATCAATATTTATACACAACTATAATGAAAAATAATAATAAATCATTTTTTACTGCTAGGTAAAAGAAAAGAAATGAGAAGATGATCTGAATGAATAATGGAAATCGTTTGGCTATAGTAATAGTGTTGCTTACCTAGTGCATCAGAGTAAAGACACATAAATTGTTGAACCTCAAAAAGATACTCAAACAAAAATATATAGTTTTAGTTTTTTTTCAGTTTTCTAAATACTTTTTCTTTTCAGTCAAACAGATTTAGAATATAAGAGAAAAAATATCAAGAAAATTAAAAATTTTTAATCATTAATAGGCCATCTACTTATTGCATGGGAAATATAAATCTCTTACTATATTGAAATGACAGTAGTTACAAATTATTTAGTAACAAAAAAGAAAATAAAAAATTGTTATTAAAAATAAAACTCTTCCAAAACCCACCTAAGAAAAAAAAATTTCAATATACATAGCTATATATATATTATTTTTCTTTTTAAATTAAAATTTTCAAACTGTTTTTCATCTTAAGTTTAATTATTATGTAAATTCTATTTGAAAATTTAACTTTTAAAAAATATATCCAATCAAATCTTTCAAACATAAAGAAAAATATTAATAAAAACAATATAATTTTTTCTTCTTTTATCTTTCTCCTAAATAAAATATTATATATTCTATTAAACATAAAAGAAAAATATAATAAAAACAAATATAATGTTTTTCTCTTTATCTTTTCCTCCTAAATAAAATATTATGTATTCTATTTAAAAATTTATTTTTAAAAAAATATATCCAATCAAATCATATCAAAAAAAAGAATATCATAAATAAGATATATATATTTCTTTTCTTTTTTTTTTTATCTATCTCCTAATTAAAATATTTTTAAATTATAAAATCAAAATAGAATTAAATATTTAATAAATAAAAAATATAAAAAAATTTCAATGTCTGCCTTTATATTGATTTAAAAAAATAAAAATAGAATTAAATATTTAATAAATAAAAAATATAAAAAAATTTCAAATGTCTCCTTTTATATTGATTTAAAAATAGTTTTAATAAAGATTAAACTTAAAGGTTAACACTTCGAGCTACATAACAAGTAATAAATAATAATATTCTGATAGACTCATCAAATTGGTGAAAACACTTGTGTTTAATCTAAAGGATTCGAATTCGAGACTTCTCACTCCTCATATAAGTGATAAAACAATTAAACCACATATGATTGGTTTAAAAAATAATTTTATAAATCATATCCAATCAAATAATAAAATGTAATTTTCTAATTGACTATGACTATGGTTATCTTAGGATATTCCAAACTTTATCAAGGGATCTATAGTAAATTCCATTATTCTCCCTATTCCCATATTTATATATAGTATAGATATAGATTTATACTCATTTTTATTTTTAATATTAAATATTGCTTATAATTTTTGTTTATATTATTTAGATTCATATAATATTAAAACAAAATTTCATATGAGATTAATGTAAATATAATAGTTAATTAATTAAATAGTAGCGTGTATATATACATATACTTTACTTCAATATCGTTATTTATCTAAAATTCATTATGATTTATATGTATAATTCTACAATATACGTAATAAATACGTTTGAATATATACAAATAGATACAAAGATATAATAATAAAATATTATACATATTTTTAAAATTAAAATTTTCAATTATTCCTCATCCATCCATTTTATTTAAAAATAAATTTTAAAAGTAAAATTTTAAAATTTTGAAAGAGAGTATATTCTATTTGAAAATTTATTTTTAAAATATATATCCAATCAAATTATACAAAAAGAATATTTTGAAAAATACATATTTTCTTTTTTTATCTATCTTAAAAAATATACTTTTTTTTATCTAACTCCTAAATTTAAAATATACTTTTTTTAAAATACTTAATTATCTATATATATTTATTTGAAAAATAATTTTAATAAATTATATTCAATCAATTAATAAAATTTACTCCCTCCATTGTTTTTATATAGGCACAACTAATTTTTCATCAATATTAAGAAAGTAGTTTAACCAAAATTTTTTTCTTTTTTTTTTTTCTAATTTACCCTAATATATCATTTATTTCTTCTCTAATTTTAATGCATGTCTTAAATTATATTTCTATCTTCGATAATGTTTTAAATGCTTTGTTAAAATAAATGGAATATAAACATTTGCAAAAATGAAGTTTATGCTTTAATATGGGGAGAGAAATTCATTTTTTTGTCATTCATTTGGGAATTTTGTATGAGAATATGAAAACTTGTGTTCATAAAACATTCAACTGCATTTGATTATTAAAAATGTACTTTAAATATTGCATAATTTTTTAAATTTTGACAAGGTCCGTAAATATTCCTTTTAATGTGGCCAACTTGAAAATTTTGTGGCCTTTTTTCTATTCAAATTTCATTTTAATCAATGTTCATATAATCTATGAGCACATGTTTTTTACAATGGAAATTGATGTAAAAAATCTATTCACCAGAATTTATTCACATTAAGTGCTCATTTATACTTTTATCTGTTACTATCTTGAAAATCTCTTACATTAAAAGCTTCACAAAAAACTAAAATAAAAATAAAATAGACTTTTCATATTGGCACAGTTTTCAAAATTATCAAATTAGGCAAAATTTTCGAAACTTTTCCTATATAAAAAGAACAGAGGGAGTAAATTTTTAATTGGTCAGGAGGTTATTTTAGGATCCCCTGTTCCCACTTTATACATATATAGTTATTTTAGGAATCCCCTGTCCCACTATTTATACATATATATATATATATATAATATATATATATATATAATATTATATTTTTTTTTTTTTCTTAATTTTTTTTTTTCTTAATTTAAGGTGAATATAAGAGACGGTGGGCTGATACACCAAGGATGCTCCTTAACAAATTAAGCCCAAATTCACACGGTTTGCCAACTCCATCTCTGCCGGGCGACAGCACCCTTGCGTTTCTAGCAAATTCCGTGTTTCTTTGTTCGATAGCCTGCTCAGACTTTTCTTGAATGTACAATTAGGTCCAAAATAATTTTTTAAATCAACTTAAAGGATAAAAATTTTATTTTTATGATGAATTCAGTTGAATTGAATAGAAAAATCAAAACGTATCACACGTGCGATCTCTAGAGAGAGAGAACAAAATCTATGTAAGATTAAATTAAATTAATTTAAATTTTTTTTAGAAATTATTTTTTTTTAAATTTAAAATCATCAAAATGTCATCTAGTTTTTATTTTTCACTCATCATTTTTTATCCATGAAATTCAAAAACTAACCCTACCCACCTACACCTATACAAATTACATGAAAGTTATATATACATATGAAAATTAGGTGAATAATGTTATAATTAAATTAAAATAAAAAAAAAACAAGAATTATTACACGAAGTGGTTGTGAAGGGACACTTGGTTTGATTAAATTAGTTTAAATCTTGTTTTTTTATCTGTTAGGAATGAATTAAATTAGTTTAATGAGTATTCAATTGGTTTGATTCAAACTAAACTGAATTAATCCATATTAAATAATTTTTTTTTAAAAAAATTGAATTGAATTAAAATTTTATTAAAAATCAAACATAATTGAGTTTATTGTGTTTAACATGAGTTAATTCGACTTAATTCAATCAATTTAATGGATTTTAAAAATTTTAAAAATCAAATCTAATTAAATTTTTTTATTTAGAAATCAAAATATTTTAAAATTAAATTGGATCATTTGATCGAATTTTCTAAATGTTTCCATATTGGTGATAATGTTGATGATCGCAATATATTTTGAAATTAGTTGTAATCTTTGAGCTTTTTTAGATTTTATTTTTAGATTTCAAGATTGGTTTAGGGACAGAAAATAAAACCAGCTCATATATTTTCAGATTTTAGGTTTAAAAACTGAAAATTAGTTTTATTTTTTAATTTGCTTTTACATTATATATATATATATATATGTATGTATTTTAATTATCTATGAGTTGCAAAAACGACAGTGACTTTGTGTATCAGACGCGCTTTTCTTATATTAGAATCGGACACTGTTGGCCAAAAACAAAAATGTGTCCTTAATTGCTCTAAAAAGTCATTTTGGACCCAATTGAATATTGAAAAAGTTGAAGGGGGAAAACTGCTAAATTGAGCCTTCGTCCTTCTTTGTTCATCACCATCTCCTGAAATTTGGAATAATAATCATATAGTAACAACATCCACCTCTTCTACTCCTGTGCAAAAATAACAACAATCTTCTTCCTGTTCTTAGTTTAATTTTTCTAGTTTGGATCCAAAAGTATCTGCAGTTGCCTTCGGATGCAGTCTTTGGCTTTGTTTAATTTCAGTGGAAACGAAGGAGCATTGAATTACAATAATCGAGGCCGAGAATGATTTTTTATTTAATAAAGCTTTAATCAGACAATCATGTGGTTTTCCTTTTGGAGATCCAGAGATCGATTCTCCTTGGATGAACTCAGGTTTGCTTTTCCTTTAACTTTTTATGTTTTTTTGCCAATTTTTCTTTTGAATTTTGTGTCCCGTTATTCTCTTTTTCCTTTTTAATTACTGATTAAGAGTATAGAGAATGTGAAAATTTAATTTCTGATCAAATTGATAGCTGAATTTTAATGGGATTGCGTAGAATTTAGGGTTTCTGATCAAATTTGCTCATTATCACTCTCTTAATATGTTTCTGTTTTATGTGAAGATGGTTATTCTTGTGCTGCATAATTAGAAAGAGTAAAATAAGTCAGCAGCATTGCAAGTGGCAACTCCAGTCTGAGAGCTTTGAGAGCACATAGAAAGTTGCAGCTTTATTTGTTAGTCAGTGCGAGCAAATTTGAATTCTTTTGATAAACTCAATCCTCTCTGGAGCTGAATAAGGGAAGGGCTCGCAACAGTTTGCAGCTTGATGTCCCTTGTTGCTTCTTTACTCATTTAAAGAAGGAGATGGAGAAGAATAGCTTGGGAATTGCTTTATAACTAATGCTTAAGATTGAACCATAAGCTTTAAAATTCATTAAGACTAACTAAGGACTGCAACTCCTAACTTCAAATTATAAATAGCTCGCATAGAAAATGTTGGGAGAAAAAGCATAATATATTGACGAAAAAGTAATTGGAGGTAATCTAACTGTGGAATTTTGTCATAAAGTCATACCAACCCCCTGAATCAACTAACATGTGTGCTTCTGCATAACACTGTTCATAGTACTTTAACCCGGAAACTAATTTCTTTTTTAATATATTTTTATTTTTATTTTTATTCTTACTCTTGACAGTCATTTAACCCTAAGACACAATATTCATTCTCTTATTTGTTTATTTTCCACTAGAAATCCTCCAAATACCCCTTTGAGTAACCTGTGTTGGTTTTCAGAGTTTGTTCAACCTTTTTTTGCTATATTGTTGGTTTTAAGCTCCTTTCCACCATACAACAATGACAACAACTAAGCTCTAATTCCAAACTAGTTGGACTAGAATCCTTTGTTCTCATTCGGCTTTGTTCGTAGCCCAATCTGCCCTAATACCAAGAGGTAGTAGGTCTTTTGACACAATATCCTCTCTCTGGTTCTAGGAATACCTTTCACCATCAATGTTCACACTTAAAAACCTGGGCACATGCGGGCTATGTAGGATATATCAAACCATGTCCTACATCCCTCTCTCTTTTTATCCCCAGCTTGAGCTACTTGCACCTTTTGTTGGATATGGTAATTTCTAATCTTGTTCAATCTTGTGTGATTATATATCCATCTTGACATTCTCATTTTTGCAACATGCTTATTGTGAATATCTTGGGCCCCTGGGGCCTAACATTCACTTCTATATAACATCATAGGTCCGATCGCCATTCTATAAAACTTGCTTTTCACTTTGTTATATATCTTCCTATTGCATGACACAGTTGTAGCCCTCCTCCATTTCATCCATCTCATTTTCATTCTATGGGTTATATGTTCATCTATCTTGCTGCCCTGTTGAAATACAGTGTCCAAATATCTTAATTGATTGCACTTAGGCACCACAATACCCTGAGTTTATGCTCTATCATTGTTCCCAAAGTTTCATGACTCATAAGTTTAATATCATGGTAATTCGTTTAACTTTAAATATCTCCCTTATTCTTATATATAGGAACAAAAGTGCTGCTTCTACAGTTAATTGACATCTTTCCACCTCTTCATATAACATTGAATAGCTTGTGTTAACCAATCTATTACCACTTCCCCAAGACTCGTACAAGCCTCTATAGGGGTACCATTTGGGCCACAAAATTCTTATTGCTGTAATAGACAAAATTTTTAGTGCTGTACTAGCATTCATTCATATCTGGGCCAATTGTACCCTGACACTGTGCCATAAACAATAATAATATTGTGTGTCTTTTATGTTAAAAACTTATCCTAATTTGTGCAGATATTTAACTGGTCAGCTTCAGAATGTCCAAATTGTAAATGAGGTTAATAAGGTGATTGATGTGCATTCTTTATATTAACTTAAGTTGATTGTTTTGCATGTTTTAACAACTTCCCTCCTCTTGTATCTGATATTATCAAAATTGTCTTCTCTGCCTTAGGATTTTGTCGTTGAGGCACTGAGATCGATAGCAGAGTTGATCACTTACGGTGATCAACATGATTCAAAATTTTTTGAGTGAGACTTCTTAATACTCCATGTTCATTTCAAGTCTGTGCTTTATCATGAGCAACTTATAATTTTCTTGCTTTTTTAGATATTTTATGGAGAAGCAAGTCATGGGGGAGTTTGTGCGAATACTAAAGATCAGCAGAACAGGGAACGTTTCACTTCAGTTGCTGCAGACAATGAGCATTATGATTCAGAATCTTAAGAGTGAACATGCCATATGTAAGTTGGTTCTTGAAAATTCAACTTCCTTATGTTGGCTCTTTTGCTTTGTGCATCTATTTCATTTAAGTATTTTCTAAACTTGCTCTACAACATATTTTGATTCTTCTACTGAATTTGCCTCCTGGAAATTTTGCAGATTATATGTTCAGTAATGAACACATTAACTTCTTAATTACTTATAAGTTTGACTTCCACAATGAAGAACTATTGTCTTACTACATTTCGTTCTTAAGGTGTGTTTTTTATCGTCCATGTTATATTGGTTGTATTGACCATCTGTTTATGTCTATATTCTTTGAATCTTGATATTTATATATGGATGGAACTTTTTGCTGACTTCCAATGACATGCATTCTGGTTCATGAAGAGCAATAAGTGGAAAGCTGAACAGGAATACTATTTCTCTGCTTGTAAAGACTCAAAATGTAAGTTTTCCCTTTCCACTCTTTTTGTTTGTGGCTTGCAGTTGTTTTGCTTGCTTGCTTCTCTTCTGTCTCTCTCTCTCTCTCTCTCACTCACTCAAATGAGATGCTTACCTAAAAACAGTAGGCGTGTTAATTGTAAGTATTGGTATGGGGCTGGTGATACATATTCCCGCTGGGAAACAATGTACAGGCTGCTGTCTAGACTATGCATTCCCATCCCAGTCAAGTTTCGTAGGTTTGAACTTCGGTTGAAATTTTTAGAAAAAGCTTACTTATTCTTTTTTTCCCCACCTAGCTAAGAAAGAAATCTTGCCCTTGTCTGTGTTTTCTGTTTCTTTATGTTGTCAGTAGTTTCTTTGTATTTTTCTTGACTTTTTTGTGCATGTAGGAAGAAGTGGTTTCTTTTCCACTATATGTTGAGGCTATAAAGTTTGCTTTTCATGAAGAAAATATGATTCGCACAGCAGTACGAGCTTTGACATTAAATATTTATCATGGTAAGTGAATTTTTTCTCTTGGTTAGTTTTTCTTGATGCAATCATGTCCTAATGCAGCAAGTTTTAATTTCTATGTCCTCCTGTTTTTCAGTTGGAGATGAATCTGTTAATAGATTTGTTGCCAAGGTCCCTCATGCTGATTATTTTTCAAATTTGGTCACATTTTTCCGGAAGCAGTGCATTGATCTGAATGTGTTGGTCTCTAAAGTTCTAAAGTAAGTATAAGGTGGTTAAACTTCTGATGCAAGTTAGTGGAAAGTATTTTATCTCCTAACTATTTTTGGTTTCTGAAACAGAAATTCAGACTCAGGGACAGATGCCACAGCTGTGGTTCTTGCTGCTGTGGATGAAATTGAAGACAATCTCTACTATTTTAGTGATGTGATTTCTGCTGGGATTCCTGACGTTGGAAGGTTAATAACTGACAAGATGTTGCAACTTTTGATACTTCCATTGCTCCTTCCATCCTTGCATTCCGGTCCTGTCAATGTAATGATCTGGTTCTTTTTGAATGATTTCATTCGTCCATTCATTAATTTTTCTCCTTGGGCCCTGGTGACTTTTCTAACAGTTTGTTGATAAACCTGTAGATTATCAATTTTGCTTTGTTCTTACTGAACTTTTGTAGCTTCTAAATCCAGGAAATAGAGATTGGTGCTGTCACTGCCCTGTATCTACTCTGTTGCATCTTACACATAGTTAAAATAAAGGACTTGGCAAATACTATTGCTGCTGCGCTCTTCTGTCCACCTGAGGTCTTTATTCCAAAATATGAAGCTAGGCTCAATGGTCACTTGCCTGATCATGGACATAAAACTGAGACCCAACAATTGGAAAGTGATAATGTCACTGAGGATGATACTTGTCTAAAAGTGACTTTGCCAAGATTGGCTGTTTCTTTGCAAGTTCATCCTGAAAGTATTGCAGAAAATGGTTGTAGTAGCTCACACCGGACTTTGAGGTACAAAAAAATTCTCATTCTTGTTAACAAATTAAAGTATTGAAATACCATTAGCAAAGCAAAAAAATATTTTGAGTTTATTTAAATATATTGTTATCATTCTGGACAAATATGTCTGGACTACTCTAGTATTTTTTTTATTTTTTATTTATTGAAACCACTTCACTTCTCCTTGGGAGGTATATTCTACTTCATGTCATCGACTTTGTCACTATTAAACTTCAAGTTGTCACTCATAAATCACTGAATATTAATCCAAACAGCAGTAATGTCATTGCTAAAGATTTCAATTGGGGTTCTGGCCAGTCCTGGTCGGATGCTGAACGTGGACTCCAGTTTGGCTTTCTAGTGAAAAGCATGTTGAGTCAAGTTCTCTCTGCTCTCTCTCATCCCTAGCATCTTCCTCCCTTTGTCTTCACTCCTATTTTCTCTCTGTATTAATGAAGGTAAATCCCCAAGTAAACTTGCTAATATTCTTCCTTCTTGCAAAAGGAAGGAAACATCTCTTCTCTTGCTTTGAAGAGGATAGGAAATTATAATCTAAAGGATTTTGGGTATGAGTCTTTCCGTACTTAGTAAGAGTCTTTCGATTGGTGAAACTGAAATTGGCATGGAATAACTCACTATCACTTGGGAATACTTCTCTTGGGAAACTCTGATTTCAGTCTTCCCACAAAGTTTGGGGTGTCTTAATATGTTCACTTGCTGCTCTTTTGCTGTGTTCATCTGATGAACAAAGCAATGGAACCTTCATCAATGGAAGGTCAAGCAAATCATGTTATAGCTTTAAAATATAAGACCCCTTGTCTTCTCTTCTCTCATGGTCTGTTTCCACTCTGCTTTTGTGTTTTCAGTCTTCTGATTGAGGCTTTTTAATTTTGTTCCTTTTTCTTTTTTGCCTCAGATTTATCATTGTTACACAATGTTGATCTGACTCTGTGATGCATATATATTATTAATCAACTTCATTATCCAATATCTTTCTGATTTTTTGCATACTGTTTTGAGTTGTATATTCATGAATATTGGTTAATGTATTCTTTATGCTTTTGTGTTTCTAATTTTTGTCATGATGCTTGTTACATATCTAGGGATTCCTTACTTTCTTACATTACAAGTGGTGATGATCATCAAGTACTGGGTTCCTTGAGTGTGCTGGCTACACTATTGCAAACAAAAGGTTTTGGCATTGGAGTTATCCATCTTACTTTTCTGTTGAATCTTGATTTATATTTTATCATGCATCTCAGTGAATTTTCACATTTGTAGAATTAGATGAAACAATGCTAGATGCTCTTGGAATTCTGCCGCAACGAAAGCAACATAAGAAACTGTTACTGGTAAGTTCTGGGCATAAATTTTCCGTGTATCTTGACAGCAGTCACCTTGTGAGGATGTATTACCATTAACATTGACCAATGTTCCTGCTCATGTTTTTGCTGCCAAATTATGATTTCAATTGGTGTGACATATTACTTGCTACTAGTAGTAAAATTTTTATCACTAGCCCATGAAGCATGGATATTGTTTGAAACCTCATGGGGCATGACCTATATTAAACGCCTAAGCGGTCCTCCAGTTTGTGTCATATTCCCCAATATGAGTACAAGGAAGCAACTTTTTAGGTGCTTTTAGATTTTTTTTTTTTTTTTTTCCTAAACGCCTTAAGCGGTCCTCCCGAACCTGGTCGATTTAGTGTAAATACCTCTGGAATGGTAGAAGTTGTGCATAGAGGAGCTGGATGAACGGGAATTGTAACTCATACCACTGTTAACCTTGAAGTTTTGGTGTCATTTCCCAATATGAGTACAGGGAAGCAACTTTTTAGGTGGTTTTAGATTTTTTTTTTTTTTTTTTTTTTTTTTCCCAAGAATGAATATAGATTTAGGTGCTTTAAGTTAGACACTAATAAGATGTGAAAAATTTTCTTGAGGTTGAGTCAAAGACTTTGATGGCTACCTGCCTCCTCCCTTCACTTCCTTTCTCTTCGGCCTAAGTTTTATCATTTCAATATTAATTATAATGTACTTTGCATTTGAATTTTACCATTAGGTTTTGCTTAATATTTGATTGATTACAACTAATTATTAGTTATCACTTGAGGGCAATCCTTGGTTCTTTCTAACTGAATGGTCATGGATGAGTCATGGAAACAACCTCATTGAAAGAGAGTAGGAATAAGGTTACATTTGAAGACAATCCTTCCTTAATCTTGACATAGTGGGGATGCTATATTAGTTATTTACCTATCTAATACAATTTCTTTCTTGAATATTTTTCAATTTTTTGTTCTCTTGTGCTTTACAGCTTTAGTTTGGTGAATTTTTTAATTTAATATAATAGAAATTACTGTATATTTACAAAATATATACTATTATATACTATAATAATCTTTAATTAATTAGCAGTACTGTAATTATTATAAATATATTGCTTTAATATAATAGCAAGTACTGTAATTATATGAAATTTTGTGTTCTTAGTTTTATCATTTTTTTTAAATAAGCAGAATATGAAAAATTAGTTTAATGAATTGATTAACCAAAATGTTCTGTACTGTATGTCTATCTTAATTACAACTAGCTAGCACTAAGTGCCTGTGACAGAGTTTGAATGTACAATCAGTGAGAATTATTACTGATTGTCAGCACGAGGCACGTTCTTGTCATGGTTGTTTTATGCCAAGTATCATTTTCAACTTTGACAGTCTTTAAAATATTTTCAATTGGATAAGGAGCTCTAAATTTTTTTCAACAAGTCCTAATTAGCATCCAATTCCGTAATTTAATTTTATATGGACCCCAATGGTGGCTATAATTGTGGCACTTACTAAAGTTCTATTCATTTGCAAAAGTTTAAAGCATTGCATAGAATTGAAAACCAAGCCAAGGTGTGTGGTCTAAAAATTCATTCATGAAAACTGTGGTTGATAGAAACTCTAGTTTTTGTATTGTCCAGTTAGCATTGATTTTGATAATAAAATGTTTGAAGAAAATAATGTCATGTTGATTGGCTAAGGAGATTGAATAAAATTTTTTTCCCCTTCCTTTGTAGCAAGCGTTGGTTGGTGAGAGCTCGGGTGAAGATCAACTTTTTGCTTCAGAAATCGGCTTTACAAGAGATAGTTTTAGCAATGAGCTTGATAGTTATCTACAACAATTGAAGGTAACCTTGCCAATTCGTCTCTCCTTTTCTCTTAAACAATATCATCAAAAATCACTACTCCTTTAGTTGTATGGATTGCATTATTCATATCATGGATAACGATCTGGAATATCAAAATTAACCAATATGTAAACAATCATTAACATTGAATCAAACAGTCTTAGTCATGCAAATTTTGTAAAGTTCAATTATTATATGTTATGATTCTTTTATCTGGATGATTGTTGACACCAGGATGTAGCTAACATTTTGTACTTTCAACTGAAACTAATACATCACACTTTTTGGATTTAGATAATATGCAGTTAGTTTTATTGCATTGTGGTCTGGCCTTGCATATATGTCATTGTGTTTAAATAATGTTTTACATTCAGGATAAATGTATTTTGTTTGTACTAAGCAATTTGCTGAAGCCTTATGGTCCTGAGTTTATGATCTGCTTTGGCATTGATTAATGCAAAAATCAGATTCTGTATTGGATAGAAATCTGAATTTGTTGGAATTCGTTCCTTTTCTACATATGGTTGCTGATCTAAGGGCTCATTAAGAGAGAGCTCTACGATCTCTTAGAGCTCATTAAAAGGGAACTCTACAATCTCTGATTTTAGGACTTAAACCTTTGTTTAAATTCTGCCTACTTCTTTCATTATTTCACATCCTTTTAACAATTGAATGCAGAGCAAAAGATTAATAACTACCCACTACTACATTGAAGACTTGCTTAACAACCCCTCTTACACCCACTAGTAAAGAAAAAAAAAAAAAAAAAAAAAAAACCCACCTAGTAAGAAAAAAAAACAAAAAAAAAAAAGATAAAATGAGTAACTAACAAAGCTAACCTCAGTACAAAGGAAACTCCTCCTAAAATAATACCTTCCCCCACCTATATCATATGCTCTAGAGAGAAACATCTCATGATCCTATTCAATTCACCAGAAGTTATTTGTGCTTTTAGTTACACGAGGGTGGCTTTAAGTGTAATGGTAAAGTTTACTCCCACTGTGACCTGAAGTCTTCGTGTTCCAACCACTGTGAAAATTTTCTACAAAAAGAAGTAGGGGAAAAGACTGCATAAAAAAAAAAAAAAAAAAAAAAAAGATAAAAAATGAGTAACTAAACAAAGCTAACCTAGGTACAACAGGAAAACTACCCTAAATATACCTTCCCCCACTATATCATATCTCTAGAGAGGAAACTTCATGATCCTATTTCAATTCACCAAAGTTATTTGTGCTTTAGTTACAAGAGGGTGGCTTTAGTGTAATGGTAAAGTTACTCCACTTGTGACCTGAAGTCTTGTGTTCAACCATGGGAATCTTTCTACAAAAAGAGTAGGGGGAAAAGACTGCATATATCAACCCTCCCTAGAGCACACACATGGGATGCTTCGTGCATTGGGTCGCCTTTTTTTTTATCTGTGCTTTAGTTAGCCTTGTGCTCAAAAATGCTCACTGTCGTTAGCCCACAAAGTTGTCATAACAATGCTTGTGCTCTCATGCAGTTTCCTTTATAGGCTCTTTTAATGACAAGTTCTGATAGTTTGATGGCTATGATTATTTACTGGTAAATAATGTCAATTTTTTACAATATATTCACTATTGCAAATCAAGACAACATAACTAAAATTACAATCCCATCTAATCTTTTTGATTCATTCACAACAATGAAGTCCAGATATATGTGAAGAATACATATATTCTGAAAATGCCGTTAGAATTAGTGAAAAAAAAATGATTCCATTAATTTTATACAAAAATTTGATTAGTGAAAATGTTGGACATCACTTTCAATGAGTTAGGGATCAACCGACAAGAAAATCGGTTAGAAAATTTCCTTCTCAGTCATGTTCTTTTTACCTTAAAAGTTCTCAGCTGGATATTAAAAAGAAAGAGCATGCCTTTTTGAGCTGCAGTAAACTAAAAAAGCCAAAAGCATTGCCCTTATACTTAATGATGGCATGGAAAATATTATTTTAACTTTTGGGACGCAGATTTACTTATTCTAAAGGTACTAAATTTGAGTTTAGTTTGGAGTCTTACTTTTTTTTTTTTTTTCAGTAAAATTCAAATTTTTTATTAGTGCTTAACGTTTTCTGAGACTCTTCTATGTTTTATTTGTTGTACGTTTTTTTAAATTAAAAAAAAATGAAAGAAACAAAATATTGCATCTATTTTCATATATAAAAAATTTTAGCAAGTCTTTTCCTTCAAGAAAGGCTTGGGTCACAATTTGGACATGGGCTCCTAGGAGGAATATATAATGCATTACTAGCTTCACACCAGTGTCTTGTTGGCATCATGCCTAAGAGTTGCATTTTATCCCTCAAGCTACAAAGAGCAGATTGCTAGATAGTTTTTGGCATTCCTAATCCTGTCAAAGTCTGAACTCTTAATTAGAACCTAGGAGGATATATGCTAACAACTTGTAGGCTATAAATAGAAGTGAATAAAGTATAAAACCTCAAATTCTATAGTCCATCCCTTTCCAGCAAAACTTGGAATTAACTAAAATGCCTAAATTTATAAAATACTGGACGAGTAGCCCATTTACTTAAATAATACATATAATGATGAAAGGGCCATAAAATACTTAATACTATCCAGAAAATCCATATATGGATTCCACTATAATTCTAATTTATTAATTTTCTAAAGTCGCTTTCCTGATTATTGTGTTCATCCATGTTACCTTTACTGCTTTCCAACCGTTCTTTCTTTGCAAGGTAGCTATACTCTGTAACAAGCCATTATTAAACTCAGCTGTTGCGAGTCATTTTCAGCTATATTTGTTTCTTAATTATATTATAACATGTTAGTTTTCTGTCTTTGGAGACATAATCATATACATGTCTTGCGATAAATTCTCATTACAGTAATTTATTTACAGAGTTGTTTGGCTTGTTGAAGAAGTTTCTCCATCTCGATATTTGTGAAACCATTAGAATATGGAATTTATTGTTTGTCTATACTTGTGCAAACTATGATGCATGGAAACTCTCTTTGGCTGCCATTTCCACATTTTGGAAACGTTTGACTCACCATGAAGGTTTCGAGGCCATTTCCAATAAATTGAGCAATTTGAAAACGCTTCTGCTCTTGGATATGCATTTCTTTAATTAAAAATAAATAAATAAATACAAAACCACAAAAAACATGTATTTTTTAATATGGAACTTCTCAATATTTATTTTATTTCTTTTGGATATGGGTGAATGGTAATTGAATTTGACTTATTGTTGGATATTTTTTATGGAATGATTTATTTTTTATATTTATGTGTTTCCTCCACTTTTCCGTTTCCCAGAATTTTTTAAATGCCACTTCGCCGTGTTTGTTTCTCTGTTTCCACGTTCCATTTCTGTGCTATATAGTGTGAAAATATTCACTTTTCTAATGTCATTGCATATTCTTTTAAAACAAAGTTCACTTGTATTAATTATTCTTTATGATGATATGATGATATGTTCTGTTTCCATTTATGGTCTTCAATAGGAGCACTATAGAGTGGAGTGCTATTTCCCAGAGGTGGGAACAAGCCCTCGTGTACATAGATTTCAGGTATATTTTAAATTTTGGAGTCAATTGGGATCTTTGGTTAATACTTTATAATTATTTTTGGGCATAAAAATGTTGCTTTCTTCTTTTAACATGAAATATTTTTTATTTTAATTTTATCCACTTGAACCATAATTGAATCTAAGTTTTGAAATCTTGAAACATTGACAATATTAAAACATAATAAGATTTGGAATTTTTTGGATCATTAGGCCTTGTTGTGTGTTATCTCTCTCTCTTTCCTTTTTCCCCCTTAAATGATATATGCTTTCTAGGTGCTTGATGCATTGGTCAGTCTCTTTTGCCGGTCAGATATATCCGCAGAGACACTGCGGGATGGTGGTTGGCTTGTGCGTCAGCTACTTCCTTACAGTGAGGCAGAGTTCAATAGACAGCATCTGAAACTGCTTAAGGTAAGTTGTATTCTATATTAAATGGTATCTCGTTGGTTTATATTTTACTGGAGAGTCAGTTTAATTTATTTGTTATGACTACTGATTTATACAATCTTTTTACAGATTTAGTCTTGTTGATGACTTGAATTGATGAATGAGATAGTATTTCTAGCTTCGATTTTATATTTTATGGAGTTAGTGTAGAAATACAAAAAAAATCACCTTATCCAGCGAAAAAAATTATATCTTCGTGGATACAGTACAAAAAGAATTAACCACTGAGTCGTAGAGAAGAAGAGAATTTGTTTTTGGAAAAGGAGACTTTGTTTGACTCATGCCCGATTGTTATGTGTTTGTATGTTTAGGATTTTCCGAGAGACTTGAAATGTGATCATATATTCCTCGTCATGAAAAATTAAAAGAAAGGAAGAAAACTTTTTTTTTTTTTCCATTTGTTTATTGGTCTTGTTTTTGGGAACTGTAATAAGTGCTACTACATTTTAGCCTCCTTATTGATTGTTCCCTTTGTGTATTATGTATATTTTATCATTCCATTGTTTGGTAAACCTAATTTATGGGGTACATTGCACTTATATTCACTAAACTATATCATTAACTCTATCATGGTAACAAAAAATTGACTTGGTAAGATCACTTCAAGTCAATTTTTTGTTCTGTTCATGTTATTGAATAAAATTTTAGCAATTCAACCTTAGGTGTGATGCCTAAGGGAAGATTGGATGTAATATCCAAGAATATCAAAGTAGGATGGCTAAGAATTTCAAAGTTGTTTGTGACATTGTTATTTCAACTGTTATAGAGAAAAAAAAAAAAAAATACTAGGTTGTAAATGCTTTAGAGGTAATTAAAGTTTGTTTTTAAGATGAATTTAATATGTTTTTATTTATAAAAACTTTAAAACAAATAAACAACACTCCTGAAATGTTTTTTCAACATCAAAATCACTTATTTTTTTGGGAAAGTAGTTTTAAGTTTAATGCCGAACAATCTCTAAACCATGTCAATGAAAAGAGAAATATGGCTGGCATGTGTGCCTTGTGCAGGGAAGGAAAAAAAGGTAGAGTTAGGTTATCTTTTAGTGTGTAAGCATCTCTTACCTTGGTCGATTTGTCTGCCCATTCAATGTACGATTCTTATCCAATTGCTTCTTCTGTTAATTTTTATGTTGTGAAATGAATTCGACTCGAGATGGGCATTCAGATTTATCACTTGCGGTTGATGAGGATGAGTTGCTTTGGACTCCTAAGGGTGATATCCAGAATGGAATGAACTTAATATGTTTGTCCGTCCTTGGCTTCAGGGAATGATTCTCTTTAGCCAGTAGTTCAGATTGGGAGGGAAAGAATAACCCTACACTCTTGCTCCTTAAGATTATGCCTTTGCAATGAATAATCCATTGGATTCTTTTGATTTGATTTAGGATGTGTTGTTTTTCTTTCCAGAGTTAAATTCGATACTTTATTGATCTTTATGTAATAAATCTGCTATATCTATGGGTCAGATACACTTGACGTATGTATATGGTTTGACTTGGGGTATCTAACGAGTAGGCTTATGAACTAGGGGACTTTTTGTGGTTACTTCATTGACTGGACAAACATTTGCAGATTATGGTGAGGTTTTCTAACTGGGTAATGTTTTAGCGAATCTGCTCCTACTTTTTTGTGTCTATGGGGTCAATTCTATATTAAGACTCATGGAAGATATGTGACTCCAAGCTCCAGAGTGGGAAAAAGAGCTGCTACTGCTGTATAGATACCAAAAAGGGCAATGTCCAAAAACAAACTGAACCTGAATTGATTACTTGACCAAAGTTCCATCTTTAATTGAACACAGTTCATTGTATACTGAGTGCAAAGAAAGCTCAAACACAAGATTGTGATAGCAAACTCCATGTTCTATCTCTAAGCTATATCAATTATGTAGATAAGAATAATAAAATTAGTTTGTAAAGGTCTGGAAAATGTGAATAACATAGCAACCACTACTGTCCATAGTTCAATACAAAGGTAAAAGATGGTAATAGCAAACACTGCAGTTTACCCTCTTCATTATCCCCATTTTCTAGAAAATCTTAAAATAATCCTTGTTGTTTTAAAGGGATGTATTGTTATCTTCTTTTTCTTAGAATTAGGACCTATAAATTTGAATGCATGTGGTATGTAATTTGCTGGAGTTGTTTTTTTTTTTTTTTTTTTTTTTTTTTTTTTTTTTTTTTTTTTTTTTGGGGGGGAGGTAGCACCGAGTAATTGTACATGGTTTGGATTTTGAGATGCATCTTGAATTGTTGGTGAACTGATAATTGTGTTTGTTCTGATTGAAAATTTTCATTTTTTTTTTTTTTTTTTTTTTTTTTTTTTTTTTTTTTTTTTTGGGGGGGGAGGTAGCACCGAGTAATTGTACATGGTTTGATTTTGAGATGCATCTTGAATTGTGGTGAACTGATAATTTGTTTGTTCTGATTGAAAATTTTCAGTTATATTTACAACTTTAAAAACTAGGGATGCTTGAATGATTTAATTATTATTAGGCGAAACTGTAGAATTTTTATATTAATATTTAGGCCAAATGACCAAAAAAAGGATGAACTTTGACCTTTTTTACAATTTTGGTCGATTCTTTTAATTTTATCAATCAATTCCTTGTTTTTTTAACAATTATGATCTCCATCTCTTTGCATCCAATTTAGAGTAACATGACCATCAAACTGAGTTAGTTATGTGGAGCCCACATCTGAACATGTGGGCCTTGAGTGGATTTTCCACTCACAATAATCATTCAATTCTTTGCAAATGCTGTTGTTTCTCAAGTGAATTTCACAAGGGAAGGTTAGATTCCACAATTCCAGAATTTGAACTTCAATTCATAGAAAATTACACAAAAAACCCTTCTAATTTGCATCTCATAAGCGAATTTCACAACTCACTTCAACCTCAACAACTTCTAGAATTTTAACAACAAAGCCTCCTAATTCATAATCCAAAGATGAAATAGCATACATTCTGTTTAATAATGGGGCTCTATTGTTCAAGATAAAGTCTAATACCTCTTTGGGAATACTGACATGAGAAGAACATATAAGCTCACAAATATCTTCCAATTTGTAAACAGGCATGACTTTGTCTTCACCAGAAGTTGCCACATTGATCATCCTCAATCACCAGTAAGACTCCACAACTTCTCTACTTGAATCCATATTTCCGAATCCATATTTCCAACAATGAACATCCTTGATTTCGACAATCAATTACTTAGCTCCTAATCAATCAAATACAATTCATAAAATATTTAATCCTTTCTTTTTGTGTATGAAAACTTAAAAAGAAACTGCAATTAAAAAAAAATTTCATCAGATATCATGGGAATCTTGAGATTGTGATGGTAAATACTTAAGAGGATCCAAGATTGAGTTTTGTTTATGGAGATTGAATACAGCTATTGAAATGAGATCAATTCAAAGCCTTGAAATGAATTGTGTAAAGTTGGAGTGTTCTTGGATAGGTTACAATTAGGGGGTTTTTGATTAAGAGGAGAGCGATTAGAATTAAAATTTGGAAGTGGAGGGGGAGAGAAAGCAGGGTATAGTGTATAGACAGGTTTTTTGGAAATACACAGGTTAGCTGCTGAGTGCATGACTGGCTGATGTCATCATGTGGTTCGTGTTGTGTTTATGGACCATGGCAACAACAATTGAATGCAAGCAATGAGACCAGTGAGAGAAGTCACTGCTGTAGCATGGCTGCTCCTCCTTCGATGACTGATTTAATGAAATAAAGGAAAAGAAAAAGAGAAAAAGGAGAGAAATCGACGACGATTCAGTGAAATACCTCAAGTGGTGATGGAGATTTGGTAAGAAGGGAAAGGTTTTTGTTGGGTTTTAAAAAAAAATAATGCTTATGACTGTTTCTGAGTCGAAAATCCACTCAGTGCCCACGTATCCAAATGTGCGGCCACAGGTTAATGGCCATGTCATTCCAAATTGGATGGTAAGGTGACAGAAGCCGTAATTGTCTAAGAAAAAAAAGGAAAATTTTGTGGTATTGATTGACAAACCAAAAGAATTTTGGTCATCTGGCATAATATTTATTATATTTCTGCTCCAATCCTGTGTACCATCATTTTTTTTTTTTTTTTAAAAGAATACTTTGACACATCTCATAGATGTGCTGGAATTTTTATTTTTTTTGAAATTTTGGCCGTGTTCGGCAATAGGTTTTTAAGTAGTTTTTTGCATTTTGAGTAGTCAAACAGCTAAACACTATTTTTTATAGTGTTCGGTAACATAACGTTTGAACTATCTTTTAAATTAGCTTTTAGAGGTTAAAGTAGCATTTTATGAAAAGTTAATTCATTTAATATTTAGCATTTCCCAAACAACTAACAACTAAATGCTACTAAAACAGTTAACACACTGTTAACAGCTAACAACTAACAAAATAGTTAATTTTGCCAAATAGATCCTTTACATTCTATGTTCTATGATGCCAAAAAGCCACTAGTTGAAGTGAAGTGAAAGTAGATACAGCAAGCAGTCTAATAGCTTAGCTATAATTTAGCTAAACAGCACTTCTAAGGTTGATGATTTTTGTCGTACACTTGTGGACCATGTTGGTATTTAGCTTTGTATATAATTTAGCTAATTAGTCTGAATACTTCTAAGATTTGATGAATTTGTCTTATATTTGTGGTCCATGTTGGTACTTATTTGATTTATTTTGTTATGTTTCTTTGGGGAAGCCAATAGTTATTATTTTGTAATGAAGAACTTGTAATGGCACAGGATTCATACGAGAACAGTGTTGGTGCTCTTCTAGAGGAGACCAGAGGTCTCTGGCCTGATCTACTTGTGATGGTCCTATGTGATGAATGGAAAAAGTGCAAAAGAGGTATTTTGTCAAACTTTTAATGTCATGAATGGTATGTTGGCTGTTAGTTGCTTTGCTTATACGTTTGGACAATGATTGTGGTGCTTGTAGCAATTGAAGCTTCATCACCTAGGAAAGAGCTGAAGTTCATACTCTTGCCAATACAGAAATCTTTTTATGATGGTAAGGCAGCTTTTTTATATTTGAATTGGGTATGCATTTCAATACTCTTTTTTCCGTTGAACAAATAGATGGAGAGTTGGTAGGTAAACATTCATTGATATGTGGTTTTCGGTTACAGATATTCTTCCTAGTGAATCATCATTAGTTGCTGGTGAAAGAATGTGCGAGTTAGTGAAGGTTTGTTCCTATATATATATATATATTCCCCCTAACAATTATGATAGATCAAATGCTTATTTACAATGTAGCAGAAACCTTGAAGATATAGTCTCTTGGTTGAGTTACTGATTAAGGTTTTCTTGATATTAATGATAGAACTACTTAATCCTGGCATACTAGATTTATACACATTAGGCATTTCCTTTTGTTGTATATTGTGATGTTTTATTATCCATTCTCTCAATATGTAATGACATTCACCCTTTCTGCCTTAGGTGTTTGTACTTCTTCATCAACTTCAAATTTTCTCCCTTAGTAGGGCTTTGCCTGAGCAACCTCCTATATGTTTTCCAATTGATATCCCTGAAAACTCGCGTGCAAAGACTGCTGGCCTAGATGTTTCAGGTCCAAAACCAGGCATGGAGTTGAGAATTGGTAAGTCATCCATATGTTATTAATACTCTTTATGATGATGATGATAGTAACGTGTGTACATGTGGGCGCGCAACTGCATTTGGAGCTTATATGTTTTCATTTATGAGTACTGTTAGTAAATGATAATTCCACTTTTGTGTCTTGTGACTTCCAAAACCTAATAATGTGGTTTTATTTCTGAGAATGCTGTTTTGTCTTCTTGAAGTAATTTTACATTCCTAGACATAATTCAGTGACAATCATGTGATCAAACATTTCAAATCTCTCTGGTCACTGCCATATGCAGTTGATGCCGTGCCTTGTAGGATTGCATTTGAGAGGGGTAAAGAACGCCATTTTTGCTTTCTAGCAATCTCTGTGGGCACATCTGGGTGGATCCTCCTCATAGAAGAATTACCTCTAAAGCAGCATTATGGAGTTGTCCGAATTATTGCACCTTTGCCTGGTTCCAACGTATGTATATATAATATATATCTGTATGTTTTATTTTATTCTTCCACATTTGATTGTATCTCTGAACAAACATTATGACAATTGTGCACAATCATCTCTCTCTCTTACTGTGCACATGCACAGACCTGATGACAATGCTCAAGACTGAATTGGTGTCTGTTCTGGGGGCTTGGAAGATCAATAATAGTGTTTCTTGTTTTCTGGTTGCAGCCTAGAATGGATGATAAGCATCCAAGATGGTTACACTTACGCATCCGTCCATCCTCTCTGCCTTTTCTTGATCCTGCTAAATCTGCAAACTACAGAAAGATGAAGCGAAAATTTTTGGTTGATGGGAGATGGACCTTAGCATTCAGGAATGAGGAAGCTTGCAAGCTTGCTTTGTCTATGATTCTCGAAGAGATTAATCTACAAAGCAAAGAAGTTGAGAGAAGACTAAAACCTTTATTTGAATTTCAAGGAGCTGAAGAGGCTTCAAACCAATCTTTGCATCAGTTTGAGGCTTTGTCATCTAGTGCAACGTCCAATTCATTGTAAGTTTGTAATTGGCTTGAGTTTTCCAATAATAGTTTGCTATATGCTTTGGGTGGGAATATTTTATGTCTGGTCACCCTCCTGTATATGTTTATAAGGCAATATTAGGTACATCCAAAATGTAGATTAGCACCCCCAATTTTAGTGCCATTCTTTGTCCAATAGCTTCTCTTACTGTGATTTGTTAGTTTAGTGGGTATTTCCTCTCATTCTTTAGTTGATCTAACCCTAGGGTTGGTTTTTCCTTTTTCTAATTTGTAATCTGTGTAACATAATGTATATTTGAGCTGAGTTCATAGTAAAAAGCTTTTATATACCGCATTTCACATAATGCCTTTGCAACTTAATCAATGCTGCACAGGTTTTCTACCTTTCAATTCCTCATTAACATTATGGCGTTAGCTTTGTCGTTCATTGATGGTTTTGATTGTTCAGTGTTTGTGATTGTTGGTGTATCTTTTTCTATTATTTATAATCTCTCATCAAATGTCAGTTGTCATTTACATTGTGAGGTGGCTTGGACAATTTGAAGTATCGGTTTTTATCCTTTTTAGGAGATATAAGTATATATAAGAATGTTTGGTCATGTCTGAGATGATTTTGGTAATGTCTTATGTAGACCCACCCTCAGATGTCCCGGTTCACAAGTATGATACATTGGTAGTGCAGATTTAGCTGTAAATAGAGTAGAAATGAGATAGAAGGATACCGTTACTAGTTCGGGATCAAGGCTGTTGTATTATATTTAGACTCTAGATACATATGGAGAGTTTTGTTAGTTTAAAGCAGAAAGAGCTTGTGATAGGAAGAAAACCTTGAGTAGTTTGGAGCTGTCCTGTGTTTTTTTCCCTTTTTCTTGGCTGTCACAGAGCATTTTGAACAGGGAGAAGAACGGCACAGTTTCAAATTCAGGTTCGGCCTTTAGTTTGTTTCTGGAGACGTTTAAGAAAATGTTGTGGTCCCTTCGATTGAATGTTCTTTTGTTATAAAAGAGAACAATATTCAAAGCAAGGTCTAATTCAATGTTGTTTATAAATAATCAAGGAACTTAAAAGTTACACTTCTCTTTTTTAAATTGAAGCATGTGGATATATTGCTATTGCGATTTATTATAGAATGAAATTGAATTATAGAACTGTAAAAGATTGCTTTTGTATTTAATTTTATAACATTTAGTTTTTTAGAGTGAATCGAACATTATGGTTCATGCAAAAGATAAAATTAAAAATGGACAAATGCATAAATTTACGTTTGTATTTTATCAAAAAATCTTATGGTACCTTAAATTTTGCAAAAGATTTATTATTAGGCATGACCGATTTAAAATTTTTAAAATGTTAAACTTGAATTGATCCTTGAATTGTCAGTTTTAGTTCGGTTTCGGAGGATTTCAGTGCTGTTTATTAGAACCTACGGTTCCAATCACGATTTTCGGCCATATATGGTTTTTTTTTTTTTTAAAAAATCAATTCTAATATTACATCTTTCTTTCGAAAATATTGATATGAGTTTTAAAATATTGATAAATTTTATTTTAAATAAATTTTAGAATGTTTATACTCATATAAGAATAAAATTAATTAATTTTACAAAATAATCAAATAAATTATCACTTTATTTTGTCTAAATGTTATTAATTAAATAAATTTTTAGAAAATTCTCATATAAGAATAAATTAATTAATTTTACTTTACAAAATAATCAAATAAATTATCACTTTATTTTGTCTAAATGTTATTAATTAAATAAATTTTTAGAAAATTTTGAAAAATACTTCAAAGAATTTAATCGTGAAACTTAGTAAACAATTTAAAAGGAAAAAAAAAAGTTAAAAAAACAATATAAGTTTATACTAAGAGCCTGTTTGGAACAAATGAATTTCAAATTTCACAAAATTTCGTGGGATTCATTTAGAAATCTAAAATATTGTGTTTGGAATGAAATAAAATATAAATTTGAATTTTACAAATTGAATTTTATGAAATTGGATATGGCTAACTTAAATTCTACTAAAATTGATGGAATTTGTAAATAAATTTCACAAAATTGACCGTTGAAATGTTTATAGACAAAATTACCCTCCATTTTACCCTCCATTATAAACTCAACTATTTTTACTTTTTTTTTTTCCTTTTTGTTTATTTTCTTTGGAAAATTTCAAACTATAACAATATTGTTTAATCCAACAATGACGTTAGTTTATGTTTTTATTCTTTTTCATTTTTATTTTTATTTTTTGGAAAATTCTGAACTAGAAATGATGTTTTTTTTTTGAAGTCTAGTAATAATATTAGTTATTATTATTATGAAACTATAAAAATTGAGTATCGACAATTGTTTTCAAATGCAATTAAAAATAATAGTAACCTTTTTAATATTTTTTTTTGAGTTTCCAAATTAATTACTTAAAATCAACAAAATTTTTTTTCACATCAATTAAAAAATAATTATTTATTGCATTGAATGTCACTACTTATATAATTTAATTAATTAACGTGAAATGATTAGTGTGTACTTATTTATATGAAATTTATTATTTATATTTTAATAAAAAATAGAAAAGTTATATTATGTACATAATAAATATAATTTAGTATTTTATTTATTTTTTTGTTAAATTATTATGTCAAGGGTATTATGAGAAATAAAGATAAATGAATTTTCATTTAAGAATTTATTTTCAGGACTTATTTTAAATTATAGGCATACCCAAACATGATTACATTTTCATTGCAAATGAATTCTGACTTTGGAATTCATTAATAAATGAATTTTTACAACCATGATTTATTTTCCAAACGGGCTGTAAATATCTCTCTTTTTTTTTTTTTTTTTTTTTTTTTTTTTTACCATTTTACTTTTTAGATGTTTAACTTTTAAAGTAAAGTGTATTTAAAAAAAAATCTTAAGTAAAATGTATCATGTAGTAAAATATTATTGAGACTTCTAGAGGTGTATAGAATAGACTAAGCGATTATTATTTTAAAAATAAAAATAGAAAATTTTTGGTTTGAACAGGACCGGAACCGCCGGTTTTCGGCCGATTTAGGTTTAGATTTTAACATTCACATAAACTTTAATCGGTCATTGAACCGCCGATTTCGGTTCAAAACTTTGAACCGATAATTTCAACCCGATTTTGGTTCATCTACAGTACAGTTTGATTCAGGTTCAAAATGAACCGGTCGTCATGTCTATTTATTATGCTCCTGAAATTGTGAATTTTGATAATATAGTAGCATTCTCTATATTAGTAATAACAGTTTCTTGATTTTTTTAGTATTTATATGCAAAATATTAATTGGATGTGTGGTCAGTATAATCTTTAAAACAATAATTTTCACATTTTTCAACTCTCCAATAAGGTTTTTAATGATCCAATTTTATAAATTTGAGTGTACAATAAAATAATTTGTAAGTTGAAATATTTAATAGATATAATTTTATAAATTTAAGTGTTCAATAGATCAATATAAAAGTTGAGGGTGCTACAAAATATATATATATATATATATATAATTATTATATATATTATATAAAAATACACGGTTTAAAGAAGTTTATATAGATTGAGCTAATTCAAATTTTTATCTATATATATATATATATATATAAAATACACGGGTGAATTTATATAGATTGAGCTAATTAAAATTTTTATCTCACTGGATTTCACTGCTTGCTCATTCAAATTCAATTGGATAGCTTTTGTTGTGTTTTCTTTCTTTCATTCTTGCTATTATACTCGAAAGTTGAAAGAACATCACTCTTGCAATCAGTTGGATATATTCCTCATAATTGCTTTGCTGGTGCTGTTATTTTGAAGTTGTTCGACAAATATTTGTTGCTAATCTTTTGCAGAACATTGAATGTTAAAATTACTCTCCTTATGTCTTAACATCAACCTGATTTTAAGGCTTTTTAGTGTTTATTTTGCAATTCTACTGTTTTTGCTTCCAAGCCAAACATAAATTGGCTGGTCAGAAATACAGACGGGCTGCCTGATAGCCAAGACGGCCTGATAAGAATTATGGGCTTTCGCTCAGGGCTTTTTTGTTTCACCTTGAAATGAAAATTGATTTCTCAGTCTAAGGAATCATGTTTCAAATATAACTTTTAACTAGCTAAATAAATTTTGTTCATTATATTAAGAATAATATTTAAAAATAGTTAAATCTGCTTAGCTTTATCATTTCTACTTTTTAACATCCTTCTTCATCATCAACATAACACGTTTAACTCGTTTTATCCGCAACGGATAATATTTCCATATTTTGTTAAATGTTCTCTAATTTTATATAATCAAATATTCATTTTAATATTCGTATCTCTATAATATTTATTTTCTGAAAATATTAAATTCTCGACATCTAACATTCATTTACATAAACATGGTTGTATCTCAATTTATTTATTGCTAATGAATAAAACTAAAAAGTAGAATTATTTTATTTGAATTGTACTTTATTCTAAAAATTAGTTTTGATAACAAGAAAATGCACGTCCACCTTAATAGGGAGGATTGCCTTTCAGATCATTTGGAGATTAGATTTGTTGATGGATGATTAGAGTTAATTAATATAAATATAGAAATCACTTTTGAAAGTAGCAAATTTAAATAAATAATTTTATGATATTAAATTAAAAATGGGCCACGTGGAATGATTGAATATTCAAATGATGGGAATGGGATAAACATCTATAATTCCCCTATAATAGACCATATATACTTTTATCCACACACCAAAAAGCTTTTTCTAAAGTAGTGGCAACATTAACTTACATTTAAATAAAATTTAATTAATAAACATGAAATAATTGCATGTTCAATGATACCAAGACAGGTCCCGCTTCCGCCGTTTGATGCAATCATAACTTTGATTCATTATGAGATGCCTTTTGGTCAAATTAATGTATTTAAAGAAATTTATTAAAGTTTAAAAAATATTGGAGACTGGATGATTTTTGGGAAGATTGCGTTTTTGGTATGAAGCCAATTAAGCAGAAAATGAACGCTAAACGTTAAAAAAATAATTGAAATTAATTGATTTTTAAAAAATATATTTCAGAGTGTTTAAATTATCTTATTTAAATATAAGTATAAAAATAAATTACACTTAATAAATATGAGTGAAATTGAAATAAAATAATTAATATAGTTTCAAAATTCTATTTGTTGCTATTAAAGTGAAACAGAGGGAGTATAATTTTTTTTTTCTGTTTTGCTTGATCGTAATATTGGTTGGTTAATTAACAAGATAAATTATTATTTATTTTTTCAGTTATGTTTATAAAATTTAATTGTATAGTTTTTAGATTTTTATTTTCATTCTGCGGCTCAATCTATTTGTTAAATTCATTATTAATAAAAAGGTTAAATAATATAATAGACACCAATTCGAGGGATATGAGAAGTCTTGACTAGTGTACTAAATAGTAATTTATTTTTTTAGGTATTTTTATATACCACTTAACCAGTATATATGTGTATCCATTCGAGGTAATAATAATATTTCACTAACAATTAATAGAAAAGTAAATCAAAGGAATGATTGGTATTTAAATATATATGAAGGATGTACGTAAAGATATAACCTAATAGTAAGTGTATGTACGACTTGATTATTCGAATTCCTCTATCCCAATACTCAAAAAAAAAAAAAAAAAAAAAAAAAAAAATTATTCGAATTCCTCTATCCCAATACTCAAAAAAAAAAAAAAAAAAAAAAAAAAAAAAAAACACGGTAGATAAACTAATAGATTAATATTAACTTTTGGAAAAATGGAAAATCTTTGAAAACTAAAAAAAAAAAAAAAAAAAAAAAAAAAAAAACACGGTAGGATAAACTAATAGATTATATAATTAACTTTTGAAAATGGAAATCTTGAAAACTAATATATGAATATAGTAACTCATTAGAGTCAAAAGATTAAATACAAATGCTGGGATAATATTTTTTAGGGAAAGGTTCTGAAGAAACCTTTGTTATTGTGAGTGAGTTCCACATCTTCTATTTTGATATCTTTGCACTTCTTTGGTAATTTATAATATTTGCTTGTACTTTATACCTTATTGCCTTTATTTAAAATCTTAGACTCTCAAATTACTCATCATTGCTAAGGCAATATGGCCACTATTTTTTTTTTCTTATTTTGCCTTCATTATTGTCATTTTATTATGATTAATTAATTTATCTTGATGATTTTTTTTTATTTAGTGATAAAGTAGTATCATGAGTTAACTTTTTCAAAATTATATTAAAATTAGGGAATTCACTTGAAAATTATTGGTACTTTTCAATTTAATTAGTGGACTGGTTGATTGGATTTAATAATGTTTCCCTTCTTTTTTTTTTTTTTTCCCTTTTAGTATTGGGATTAACTTATCTAGAATAAGCCTACCCATAGATTAAACTAATTAAAAATAATTTTTATTGAAACGATGACATTTTTTATCATGAAAAAAAAAAGATAAAATGAAAATAATATTTAGGAAACTTCTATTTTGATTAGTTTGGTCGGGCCAATAGACCAGCAAGTCTAATCGTCTAAGCTCAATGATATTTAGGCCCTGTTGATTAACAGATTTTCATATAGCTTTTAGTGTTTTAACTAAATCAAAATATTATTTTTATTATTTATAGTGTTTAGTAGCAGAATATTTATACTAATAATTAGAGTTCGAGAGAGCGGATTATAAGATTTTACTCCCTTTAACGTTTGTTGAAATGTTAGTTAAATGGCTAATGCTACTAGTACACGACTAATTTTGCCGAACATCCCTTAGATAGTGTCTGCTGAATTCGAGTTTATTGAGTTGTGGTATGCATGGCTTGCACTGTGGATGTGCATAGTTGTCCATATCAGATAAAAAGTGCTATTGATATAGAGTGGATAGAATGAAGTTAAACAGGGAAAGCAAAACACATCCTATTATGAAAATTAGCAAGTTACACAAAGGAAATTGTGGTGGTAATAGATTTTACAAAAGAAAAAGGAAAAGAAGAAGAAGAAAAAAAAAAAAAAAGGCAAAGACTTAAAAATTTAGTTAGTCCATGAAAGAAACTTGGATTTTCTTGGGAAGACATGTACCCATGAACCCATTCTCCAAACCTCTTTCATTTGTGCCTTCAAAACAAAGCCTAATCCCCACACCATTTTTCCCTCCAATTTTAACTGTTTCTAATGTTTTTCGAAAGATGTCTTTTAGCCATCTTTCCATTTGACTATTAACAAAACAACCATACCCATCTACTATCTCTTCTAATACCCTTTCTTCAATGCTAAAACCAATCCCATTTAGATCACCAAAAACCTCTTGTATGCAACTCTTCAATTTGGAAGAGAAAATCTCTGTTATTGCCCTATCACGAGCTTGATTTTTATCCAAATGAATATGGTTCTTCATGGAATCAAGAAACCCATGTGGAGTAACTGGATCATAATTTGTTTCACGGGTTAAATCGCTTGAAATAGGACTAAATTCTCCAGGTTTCTCTTCACTTTCTTCGTCTTCATTGGCCTTGATGTTCAGGTCAAGAGTACTATTGAAGCTTGACTGCCTTGAGAAGTCTTTCTTGATCTTGTTTCCATTTTCAAGATCTTCTTGTTCTTTTTCATTGATTCTTGGATTCTTGATCTTGCTTGAAATGTCCCATTCAGGTTTTCTCTTGTGATGATCCATGTTGGGTGTCCCAAATCTTGAATGTTTTGTTTCTTTCACTTCAAGAATCATCGGAATAACAGAATCTTGATTTATCTTTCCATCTTCATAGCTCAAGAAATCATTGCTCCTTGTCAAAATGAATATTGCTTGGTCAATATTTGCTGATTCTCCAAATTTCCCACTTTCAAATGCATCAGAAAGTAGTTTCAAGAACTTATCAGCAAAGTCAACGTCTTCTATCAAAGCAACAATCTTTTCTTGATTTCTTAAGGCTTTTGTGATCTTAAGTGAAGCTGCTTCATTATCTGTTTTCCTCAAATTCATATAAAGTAGTAAATCAGCAGAACCCAAAACAGACTCTGCAACTGTAAGGGCCAATCTTCTTTTCCCCACCATGTCATTTCCTTGTAAAAGTAGCCAAGTCCCTCTTCTTGTTGAATTGGATTCAACCAAAGCTTCTACTATAGAATGAAAAATGATTTCCGATTGCCAAGGAATGTTCTCTTTCAATAACTTACACAAATCATCACTCTTTCCTTTCTCTCTTTCCCCTATATCAGACAAGAAAGAATTTCCAAGAGCAAGTGTGATTTTGACTTCTTTACCTTGAGTGTTCTTGAGAGAGTCCAAGTTTGGTTCCCCTGGTTGATTCTTATGAACTCCACTGTCAAAGTTGAAATCAATGGTGCAAGAAAGTTGCCTTCTAAATTTAGGCACAGAATTGGTAATCTGGTTAGGCTTCAAAGGAGAATCTATGAAAGAGATTGAGTTTGAATCTTGAAAGATGTTGTTTTGGCTTGACCACGAAGGGTTTGAAGAAGCATATGAATTGCTCTTCTCAATTATGCTTTGATTGTTGTTATTGTTGTAAGAATTAGGTGAACCCAAATGGTTCTGAGTATGCTTTCCTTGATGGTTTAAGCCACTGCAGAATGCATTCCATTTCCTTCTTAATCCAATCAACTCATCCTGATCATTTAAATTAATTTAGTTAGTAAGATAAAAAATTTCATTATTTCTGAAACTGTTGTCTAATAATATACATAAAGTCTATTTAACATAAAGAGGTTGAATGATTTTTCCAAAATAAGTTGGAAAAAAAGGAACAGTTTGAGAGTTGTGTTTAACTATTTTAAGAACTAATTTTTACTATTAGAATATGTAGAGTACAGTTTAAGAACATTTTCAATATAAATAGCCTATATTTTGCAAATAAGGTCAATAATTACCTTTTGATTGGCATTGGTGCCTTGTGGATGAAGCCAAGGAGGCAAATTTTTGTGCTGGCCTGATTTGAAGAGTTGAGCTTCTTTTTCATAACTGGAAGTGCATTTTGGACAGCAACTTAGCTTTTCTTGCTCATCCTTGCCATTGCTAATAATGAAGGGTTTTGTTTCAAGAACTTGTGATGGGTTATGGGAAAAGCTTAACTTTGATTCATGGATACTGCAAACAAATTAATGTTTTCAGTAAAAAGGAAAAATATAGAACAATTGGAAAAAAATAAAAGAAAAAAGTGCATTACAAATAATTTATAGTTAAACCATTTTTGTGATTATTAGTAAAAGGTTCTATGACTGAAACATGGTGAATGGTTCAGGTTGCAGTTACAGTGTCTGGTTACATCAAAGAGTTTGAAGGATAAAAAAAAAAAAAGAAAAAGGTTATAATTACTTTAGTGAAAGTAAATATAGAGCAGGTCCATTTACAAGAATATGGTAACTTTTGGGTAGATAATGTAATGTTGATAATCTAAACAGGAAAAAGAAAATGACAATCCTCAAAAGATTAAAATTAGTATATAAAGAATAGAAAAAATAAATAAAAAGAATATTCTATCCAAAAGGTCAAAAAAAGATTGGAAAATGGAAGCAGTCTGAGCCAAGTTTCAACAAAGGTAAATTTTTCTTTTTCTTAAAGTGCATGAATAGTTCATATTCCTTCAAAGAAAAGATGGATAAAAAAAAAAAGAATGGAAAACAACCCTCAAAACTTTCCCTTTCCATTTCTGTTTCCTTGTTGTTTTATTATAAATCTGCAAACAAAAATCTGCTATATCCTGACAGCAGAACAAAGCAAAAGCATGTATATAAAGACAGGGATTCATTATGTCTCACCAAAGCATACTTTTTTCAAAGGTGTTTTGGCCTCATTCAAACCATAAAGCGCAAAGTACAAACCAAACAGAAAACAAAAAAGAAAAGCTTCAATAGGTGACCATCAAACCATCAACAGAGAATATATATGTTCATGTCTGCCTCAATCTTGCATAATAATACATATAACAACCCTCTCTTTCCCTTTCCATTTTTCTTGTTTCCTTGTTGTTTTTTATTATAAATCTGCCAAACAAAATCTGCCTATATCCTGACCAGCAGAAACAAAGCAAAAGGCATTGTATATAAAGTGCAGGGAGTAGTCATTAATGTCTCACACAAAGTGCATATACTTTTTTCATCAAGGTGTCGTGTTTTGGCCTCATTCCAATAGACCATTTAACAAGCGCAAAATACAAACCAAACAGAGAAAAACAAAAAGAATCAAAAAATAGCCTTCATATATGGTACCCATCAAACCATCAACGAGAAATATTATACTGTTCATGTCTGCCTTCAATCGTTTGCCATTATATAATAACATTTAATATATATAAATATATATAATTTATTATTAATATATAGTAATATAATTGAACAAACAAAAAAAATTAGCTCTCCACATAATGTGTTGTTCTATGTTAAGCTTTGGTCTTAATGGTTGCTAAAGATATTTTTAGAACTGTGAGGTTAGGGAGCTTAAATTCCTAATTAGTGAGCCTTAGATGAATAGTTTTTTTTAATTTTTTTTTTAAAAAGGTAAGAACAATAATGTTTTGCATAAATGACCTTGAAGATTTATACTGGAGGTGTCACTCAAGCCAATTGAACAAAAAAAAAAAAATTATCACATATATGTGTTCATGTTCAAGCTTTGTCTTAATGTTGCTAAGTATTTTAGAACTGTGAGGTTAGGAGCTTAAATTCCTAATTAGAGCCTAGATGAAAGTTTTTTAATTTTTTAAAAAAAGGAAACAAAATTTGAAAAATGACCTGGAATTATGGAGGCTCAAGCCAAGACCACCTGAAGGAACGGAAACAGCTTGAAATGCCCATTGAAGCTCAAGAGGAGGTTGTCTCATTTGGCATTTCATGTATGTTTGATAACTAGCAGTTGCCATTAACCAAACCTTTGAGTTTGAGTTGCTATATTCTGATACTATTTTTCCTATTTCTGCAACTAAATGTTCAACTGGACTATAACCTGAATCTTCTTCTCCTCCTCCATTAACAAAGCTTTCTTCAACTACTGTCCATTTCAAGTCTCCTGTGTAAATAATGGCCCCACCTTCTCCCATAGAATCAACTTTCCTTTTCAGTTGAGAAATATTCATTTCAACATCTTCTTTCTTCATAAACCTTAAAGAAACTGGTGCGAATTGAAATTTAACAAACTGGACGTTTTTCAATTCTATTGGAACCTCTCCTCTCTCAACCCTTCCTATTAACTCCCCAACAAGTCCTTCTGTTACAGAAACACAGTCACCCACTATAACAGTATTCTTTCTCTTTTTTCTCAAGAAAACCTCTAAAACCAACTTAATATCTTCCTTGACAGAAACAGAATCTGCGGCAAAATAGTTACTTAAAACCCTTTTTTGTGGTGAAAAAAGAAATGGGTTTTTCTCCAAAGAGAAAGATGAGAAATGGGTTTGCCAAAAAGTAGAAGGGTTTATAATCTCTCTTTGAGTAGTTTCAGGAGGAGAAGGAGAGCAAGGAGAAGAAAAAACCCCACCTGTAGTTGAATAACACTGGAAAACAGAAGCAGCAGAAGAATCCTCTATATTGTTCTTAACAGCAGTGCTCGAAAACCCAGCTTCTCTCATAACCCTACTAACACTAGGATCATCTAAAATAGATATTATAAGCTGTTCCAACTCTACTTTTATAGTTAAAAGAGGTTGTTGTTGCTGTTGTTCAATGCAGCCTCTTCTTTGATGCGCTTGTGCTCTTTTCAGAGCAGCAATCAAAGCATTGGATAAAGAAGGCTGGCCATGAAGTAAAGGACCAGGTGTAGTAGGAAGTCTGTTAAGAGCAACATTGAAGCAAAGCTCAAGAGCTCTGCATTGAAGAGGATGAGAAGATTGATATTGCGGTTGAGATTTAAGACAAGCACGTCTTAAAAGACTAGTTCTCGAGCTTAGCAACGTAGCAGCTACATGAAGAGGAGTGACTTGAGCATGGCCTCTCCTCCTTGCCAAGCTTAGAGAATGCTTCAAAACTGAAGCAGCCTCCGCTGTGAGGGTCTGCTGGACCGTACAAGCTCCTGAGCGCATTACTTAGCTAAAACCCACCCCCCACACCACCCCCCCTTTGGTAACAAACAAACAAGCACCAAGAATATGTTTCTTTCTTCTCTGCAACTACTATCTCTCTTAATTCCCCCAACACCACCACCACCCCACCTCTCTTTCTTTCGTTCTTTAACAGAAGCTACTTAGCTTCCTCTCTGTTATAAATGGAGGAAACAGATAAACAAGACACCAGAACTTATCTAGAAAAGCCTCAAATGGAAAGAAAAGAAAAAAATCCCAGAGATTTTTAGTAGAGGTTGAGAAGAACTAGACTAGACCACACCACCTTCTTTATACTTCTTGTGTTGATAGACAGTAAGCTTTTTCTTTTTTAATGAATAAAAAAAAAAAAGAAAAAAGAGAAAATTTTTCACTTTGGTTAATTACTAGCTTGGTTATCTCTCTCCTCATGAGTACTTTATTGCATCTTTTTATATCTCTCATTGTTGCTATAAAGTGTACTCTAATATGTCACTTGATTTTTGTTTTAATGATAATTAGAGTAAAGAAAAAGACTTGCTTTTAATAATTATTTTCCTTTTGTTGGGACTTGCAAGATGGTAAATAATTATATTTACATGTACATGGCATGATGCACTTATCAGATAAATTTTTGTCCCAAAATCATCAAAAGCTGCAAAGGAAGATTTCAATCTACCTTATGTTACCAACCATTTTTTTATATATATTATTCTCTTTTTTGGAATTATTTACTTAAAAATGTTAAAAAATAAGGAATAACATTAAATTTGCTCTTTAAATTAATCCAACTTACAATTTACTCAAAATGAAATCTTTGTTAACCGATTTTTAATAGGAATTTTTAACCACGGACCCAGTGAATCCATTTTTTTTACTAGAATAAGTAACTTCATTGAATAAGAAGAAATAATGTGTTTGAGTTGTGAGAAAATTAAGTCATTAACTTTTCTTATCATTTGTCTTTTACTCTTTTGTAAAAAAAGAAAAAAGAATCACTCAATATAGTTTGGTCTAGTGATTGAAGCGCAATGAATCTCACTTTGGTGGTGATCGCAGGATTGAGTTGACATTCAAAATGGATTAGTCTCTCACTTTTAACCGTTAAATGAGAGGACACCCTGGGTAAAAAAAAGAAAAAAAAGGATAAATTTGATTTTCTGATTAGAAATTTCAGTTATAATTCGATTTAGAAAACTTAATTTCCGGTAAATTGAACAACAAAAAACAAATTTAAGTGAGAATTAAGCATCAGTATTGCAGAAAAAAAATATGATAATAAGTGCCAAAACGATACGAATTGGCAGTTGCGAGTGGTGAAACACTGGTAATGGACTTTACTGCTTTGTGCTATGTTATTTCCGTGATAAAGAAAAAAGGAATAATATATAACAAAAAAATTTAAAATAAAAAGAAAATAACAATTCAAAATTTACTGACTGAAGGGCTTGCTTCCCTCGTTTTTCCACGTCAGGCTCTTTGAATGGACAGACAAAGCCAGCAGAAATTCAAGAAAAGTATTAAAGTTAAAAAAAAAAAAAAAAAAAAATCAGGGCTCTCTTGAGATGGACAGGGACAAAGCCAGCAAGAGAATCTCAAGAAAAGTATTAAAGTTAAAAAAAAAAAAAAAAAAAAGAAAAAAAAAAAAAAAAAAAAAAAGAAAGAAAGGTGGAAAGAAGACAGACTGTGCAAGTGTGATGAGAGATAAAAAGGAAAGTGGAATTTTTTTTTTTCCTTTTTCTTTTTTTCTTTCTTTTATATATTTATTTTTGTTGTTTTTATATAATAATTATCTCATGTAATTATATATATTTAAAAAAAAAAAAGAAAAAACGCCAATCCTCGTAGAGAGACAGCATTTTATTCCCAAAGTAGCCAAAAAGCAAGGTTCTGTCTGCTATCCTACAAAGCATTATTGGTTCTTTTTCAGCTCTCTTTCTCTTCATCCTGCAAACTGCAATGACTTTTTGTCTTAATCTCGTTTCATTTCAACAACCCACTTTAAATGTTCTTTTTTTTACCAAATGAAGCAAGTAAAAACTAAAATCTACTGTTAATATAACTATTTTTTTACTATCTTCTTCATATTTATTCTCTTCCATTCTTATTTATTTATATGCTTGTAGATCAAGAAACATAATTTTGCTTTCTACTTTCACTTATATAAATCTTTCTGAAACAATGGTATATTTGTCTTTGAACTTGTTTGCCTCAGAGACTGTTATCACAAAAAGACAAAAAAAAAAAAAAATAATTGCCCTCAGAGTGACTGTCATCACAAAAAGACAAAAAAAAAAAAAAAATGAATTGACGAGTGTTTTTTTTTTTTTTTTTTTTTTTTTTTTTTTTTTTTTTTTTTTTTTTTTTTTTTTTTTTTTAATTCAAATGCAATCGGTTATTTTCACACAGTGATCTAATTGGGGTTTAGTTAAAAGTTTCTATTAAAATTGACTTAAAAGCCCAATTTTAGATACATTGTACATCGTGATTAAGTTTAGAAGACACGTTGAGCATTATTCCAATATCAATTTCCCCTACTTTCTTACTTAGTTATACTTCTTCTAAGCCATATGTTGGTTTATTCTCCGAAACAGTAAAAAAAAAGCCACATGTTAATTACTACTTTTGTTCCATAATATTTTTTACATTTATAATTTTATGTTCCTTAAGAATATCATTAAAATTTGTCTAAATTATAATAAATTATTGAGTAAATTGATTGTATTACCCTTAATTTAATACTAAATTTTTAAGAAAATTATTAAATCGAAGTAATAATTATTGGTCATATACAAAGGGTAAAAATGGAAAAAAAATATTTATTACACTTTATTTTTTTGAACAAACTATTGTTTCTGTGACAAGTATTATGGAATAGAGGTAGTAAATTATACGTAGTGATAAAAACATATCATCGTTACCTTCAATTTTTCCTCTTCCCATTTTAAATGACTTGGAGATTAATATTCTTAAGTGTTTTAGTTATCAAGGCCATAATTACCTTTTTCTTTCCTATGCAAATGATAAGGCAGAATGGGACCTCTTCTCTTCTCTTCTCTTCTCTTCTCTTCTCTTCTCACTAATACTAATTTTGAAAGCCCTAAATGAAAAATTGGAAGAGTTAAGGATATTGATTTAGTAGTTATTAGCAGAACTACGCGTAGCTTCCAATGATATATAACATCTATCTATAAAGGGTTAAAAGATGGATCAATGGTTATTTTCCCAAGCTGTTATTTTGCATTAAAAGGAGCCAAAATAAATTTTCTAAAGCCACCACCAAAGGGATGCTTTGGTTAAAGTATTTCAAAAGCATATTCAAAAATTAAACTAAGAAAAGAGAGAGAGAGATAGAGGGAGAATGATTAGTTTAATCTATTTGAGATGTTTCCAGGAACAATTACTAGAATAAATACTACCCAACAGGGTAATTCTTCCCTCGACTCACAATAAAAAGATGAAAACTTTCATGGGAAACACGAAAGAGGATAGCATTTCCCTTAACTTACCCAATTAGTAAAAACTCTTATAGTTGAAAAGACTTGAATCTGAAATCTCCCTCCATTGACAAGAACACCAATATTGGTGTAAATAGTAGCTTTTTGATTTCAAATGATGAGCAATATGAAATATTCATATAACTCGATTCTTAAATTTAAAATAAATTGTAGGGTTGTTTTGTTTCTTATTAGCTAGATCAATTATTGGAATTAAATAAATGAGATATGTTTTTCTCTCATTTATGAATTGTTCATCTATGACACAAATATTTTATCTTAGAACAAAACAAGTAAATACAGTAGATATGTAACATTTGGGCCATTATACCATTTATTAGTAAAAAAATTAAATGAAAATTTAAAATTATTAGAACTTTATATATAATTATCAAAAACTAATGGATAGTGAATACTGAATAATGAAATTTTAATATCAAGAATTGAGATTACACAAATATGGAAGCATTTGAATCAAAAACAAAAATTCTTGTCTATATACAATGAGTACGTGGAACACATGGTATGTTTAAAATTTATGAGCATATATAAATGCATACTGTGTCACTTTGATCATATCTTTACACAAATATATATATAAAAAGCTCTTTATGGGTCAAAAAAGTAGTAAATAACAACTAGCATTCAAACAGGGTCTTACTAGTCAAAAGTCATAAATATCGTCTAAGGTTAATATATGTAGTAATATTTGCATGCACCGATGCAAATTTAGAAGTGAAAGGTCTTCCTACCTGTCAAGAAGACTTAGAAAGTGAAAATTCTCGGATTCCTGTCCTCTTTATTAGTAAGGTTATCACCAATTTAATGAATATTATTTAAAAAAAGATCTCTGTGCTATATAGTCCATAATATTATTCAAGTCAATTGAATTTTCTATGTATCTAAAAAAGTATTTTATTTCTTATTGGATGGATCCCGATGAAAGAAGATTAATTTGGTTTTCTTATTTTTGAAATATTTATATTCTTACAAAAACAAACCCTCTTGAAGACTCGTGTCTTTTGCATCTATATATCTTCTCATGATTGAAAAGCTTAAGTTGTTCACTCATTGCTGTAAATAATTAATAATTAATAATAAAAAGAATGAATAATTAGGGTGGGGCACTCCTTAATTAGTTTGAACTAATGGGGCACTCCTCTGGCTTTATGGAATAGAATGATGATAAGGTTGATTGTTGGGTGTATGGATTAGGCTTTTTATCGTAAAGAAATGATGGTATTAATTAGATGAAAAAGGGTAAAGAAAAGAAGGGAAGGGGTTGGGGTTGGAGTGCCCAAATCATTACAACATTATTCCAAAGTGAATAGAGTTCCTCTGATCGGAAGAAAAGTATCCCTTTGAAGAGATTTGGTGTGGTCAATTTTTCAATTCTTTCGGAGTCCAATGATTTGGTTTGATATTTTCCATACATATTTTCAACAAAGCAACCAAAAGGATAATTCTCAAACTACGTTGAAAGGGACATCAAGCTCCCACCACATCATTTACTACACATCTTTTTTCTAAGTTGTCTTAATTCTTGATTATTATGTCTTAATTAATACAATTACAATTCCATCAATGTATAGTAATTACTTAGATTAAAAGATGTTTTGTATGGAATGTGTCACTTTCTTGTGATGGGAGCCTAAAATTCTAAATTAAAAACAGAAAGTGAAATATTGGATTGATACTTCACACCTACTAGCTAAAAATACTTTGGAAATAAAAAAAAACATAGATAAAGTAATTTATTTTATAACTAATTACTCTTTCCGTTATTTTTATATAG